GTGGGGTTGTTGGGGGTGGCGGGGGTGGCCAGGTTGTGGGGATTGTTGGGGTTGGTCCAACGTGTGTATTAGTCCAGAAACGGACTGCAGGTCGTGCAGACCGACTCCACGGCCTGGTGGGTGGACTGTCTTGATGCGTGTTCTGAGACATGGCCGAGGCGAGAGAACAAGGCGGGAGCTGCACGTGTCCAGCTGGGAAGACGCCGTGCCCAAAGTGCGCACCGACGCCGCCGCGACCGCCGCCGCGTTGCGCGCCGCCTCTGCCTCCCGCCGCTCCGCCTCCTCCTTCTCCTTTTCCGCCGCCGCCGCCGCCGCTGGGTCCGCCAGCCGCTCCCGCTCCTCGGGCGCCTTTGCCTTTGCGGCTTCCGCCGCCTTTGCCGCCTTTGCCTTCTCTTCGTCCGCCTTTGCCGCGTGGGCCTCCTGCTTGATCATCTCCTGCTCCTTCCTGATCAGCTCCAGGCGCTTCTGCAGCTCCTCGGCGCCTGGCGGGCCCAGAATGGGGGCCGAGGTTGCGGTGGCGTCGTGCGTCAGATCAGATCACAACATGAAACCCATGCATGTTCACCATCTCACAGACTACGCTGTACCAAATAAACCTCTGATAATCCTGGAACCAGGCGGAGCCGTCCCCCACCGAACACAAGGTCAAATGCGACCAGATCACGCCAGATCACATGCAACCTCGTCGCGCGCGACTCACCGCCAGCCTCGGCCCCCGGGCCGACCTCCAGGCCGACGTCCTTGATGACTTCCTCGGGCAGTGTGAGCAGTGTGTCGCGCACGCCCTTGAGCTGCGCCTCCTCGGGGGTGGCGGCCGGCTCGGGGGTCGTCAGGACCTGAGGGTGTGTGTGTGTGTGTGTGTACGCGTGGGTGGTGTGCGTGCGTGTGTGTGTGTGTGTGTGTGTGCATGTGTGCATGCACGCATGCGTGTGTATTTTGGCGTTTGAAGATGCTGAGGCGTTGGCGTTTGAAGATGCTCAATGCTGCGCTCTGATCGTTTGCAGATGCTGCATGCTGGGCGCAAGGGAGAGCAGACCCCGTCAGGATAGCGGCAACGGGCGTGTCGACAACCACAAGCGCGAGCCGCGCGGCGGTAGGGCGAGGAGCCGAGTGGCGAGGTCGGCACGCAGCTGCCTGGCCCCAGGGCCGCACCAGCGCGCGCGACAGCAGCAGCAGAGACGAGGGCAGGCCCCTCTGGCTTAGGTCGAGCCAGCCCTGCATCTGGGTGCGCATGTAGGGCAGGCAGCCGTCCCCAAACACGGCCCGCATGCCGCGCGCCTGCGCGGGGAGGGCAGGGCGAGGTGGCGCCGCAGGGTGAGGCGGGGGCACAAGGTGATTATGTCGCGGCCGGCGGGCTGCGGCAGTGCGTGCTGCCCTTTTGTCGTCCAAACAAGTTACCTGCCACCCTGACGCCCGTCCCTTCCCCCCACCCCAAAAGCCTGACCCATGCAGCCCAGGTCCCCTGACCCCTTGCCCCAACCCAAAACCCTCCACGGCAACCCCCATGACCATCAATTTTCAACCAGACCCACCGTCTCAACACACCCTACGACCCTGCCAACCCAGCCAGACCCTGCCGACTGACCCAACCCAAACTTCATGCCCTGACCCCCCCCCAGCCCTTCCAACCCAGCACTACCCACCCTGCTGGCTGATCTGAGCTCGTCGGCGTTGAGGTTCTCCAGCCCCTCCGCCAGAATCACCGCGTCATCCTGCGGTGGTGGATTACGCAGATTATTGTCGGTTTTCCGATGACATCAGACCCCCCCAGAAATTCGCACGTGCGTCAGTGAAAAAGGCACCCGTTGATTTGGGGGGGGGGGGGTGAGGGTGGGTGGACACCCATGGAGGAGGGTGGGTGTCAGGTACGTGGGAGGGAAGCAGCATCACACGAAGTGCGTGGCCCAATCAAGGGGAGGTTTTGGAGAGGAGGGGGACACAAGGAATGCTCCTGGTCAATCTTGCTGGTCAACCCTGCTTGCGGCCTCAGCGCTTCATTGAACAATGGCGCACGCAGCCTCTCCACGCGCGCTCTTGGCAGTTGCCATACCGCCATGCAGAGAGCCGTCGGCTGCTCCGCTTGTCGTGCGGCCTCCAAGGCCAGGCCCGCCCGCCCGCCTTCCGCTGCGCACCTGTTTGAGCTTTTCGAGGTGGGACCTGAGCCTGTTGCGCAGGAAGCTGTCGGTCCCAAACGGCGGGATGGACAGCAGCTGGCACATCGACACGAGCTGCACCCTGCGTGTGTAAGTGTAGGTGTGGG